AACCCAGTCCTGGCTTTGCTTGGGACTGCTACGTTACGCATGAGTAAACCTCTTTTGTGAACCACTCGTGTCAGGGAGTTTCTCTGTCGAACGGGGCAAACCTTACACCTTAGTGGCTGGTTTCAGTCAGTGTTGATTGGGGGCAAGAGGTCCTGCTGTTGGCCCCTAAATTATGGGGTGCAAGGCCTCTCCAAAGGGCCAGCAGCTCCTTTGGCCAGTTGTGCCTCATCATCATCATAAAACAGCAAAGGACAGCTGTGGGTGGCAGGGGCGGAGTGCAGGGCAGCCAAAAGGGCAGAGATGTGGGGGAGATAGGTGGGTGGGGGGAGTTGAAGTACACAATGCAGTTCTAAATGTGGGCAGGCTGCCAAGCACCCAAATTTTGACCATGTGACTGCATGGGAACTGCAACAGCCATAACTTTGAGGACCGGTCGGTCGTAACTACTATTCATTCAGTGCCTTTGTAACCTTGAACAGTCGCTGAATGAATGGTTGTTAAGTGAGGACTACCTTTATTCATCCATATAAGCCTTAATCTATATAAGGCATAATCCTCTGCCATTTTGAGGATTACTATTTCTACACATCTTCTCACTGTTAATTGTTGGATATCAGTTTATTCAATTATTAGTTTAATTGTTAAGATATTAGTTTATTTTTCAATATTAGTTAACAATAAACTGCAAAAACCAGCAAAATAGCAGGGTTGTGAGGAGAGCAATTGGCTCAGCATACCATCTTCTCCAGTGGCTAACGACACCTACTCCTTGTAGAGATGAGAATAGAGGTTCCAGTGAATCAAAACTGCAATAACTGTGGGATTCATGCCCTCAGTTTGCATGTAATCAAAGAGTTCTATAGTCTATCCCAGCTTGGAAATTTATAACTGTGTACTTAGATTTAACAGCCAGGCTACAACAGACACGGGAAAAAGCAAAGAATAATAGGCAGGATAAAATGTTGCTTTGAGTTGTACATCTGACCTTCCTTAATTGTTGGATAGTTGAAAGGGAGGACGGGTTTCCTGAAAAAGCTATCTTCAGCCAGTCTGGGCACTTATTTACTTGGAATAAAAGGACATTTTGCAATTAAGTACCCAGACTGTCTGAAGAGATGTACAACACACAAGAGATTAGATCAGCAAGGAAGTCACCTCAGACCTCACCGGTCCCTTGAGACCCCCAGGCCTGCTGACAAAGCCAGGTCTTGAGGGACTTCTTGTGATGGAAGGCACGAGCAAGGAGGACCTGGCATGGAGGTCCAGGCCATAGGGAGGGGGAGCGGAATCCCAAGCATCTCCTCAGTCCTCAGCCGGAGGTGTGAAAGTGAAGGAGGAGACTGGCACCACCCTCAGGAATTCAGAGCGTGTAGTTGCTGTCGCGGGGGGCTAGGGTTAGCCTGGCGAGATTCTGTCTAGCAGGTGTAAGCTAATAAAGTAACCGAATTGTTCCTGAATTGTCCTGCTGAGTTTCTTGGGCTGAACCTGGCACTTCTGGAAAATAAGGAGGGATGGAGTTGACCTCACTTTGGAAGGGAGAGTGTTCCACAAGGTGGGCGCCTTAGTAAGGTGGGGTGTTATTTATCATTTAACATACTTATTAATCCAATCTATGCGGCTGCCCATCTATCCAGGAAAATCTGGGTGGCAAACCAGGTCGAGGGGTTGCGCTGGGGAGGGAGGCCCGCTTTGGGCTTCAGCGCCTTCAGGCCTCGGACTTCCTCGGGGACGCGAGCCGCCCAGAGGCCGCGTCAGGCTGCCAAAGGCAGGCCACGCGTCGACCGGGCGAGGAGGGCCACTCGCAGGCCGCTCGGAGACCCGGCTCGCGGCCGCCTTCCCAGCTTCCGGTCCTGGGCCTCCTTCCAGGCAGCCCCGCCTCTGCCCCGCCTCCGCGCGCTTCCCGGGGGCG